TGGCTACTAGATTCCCCCCATTATCAAGTCCCCCCCACATACCCCATTACAGTCACTGTCCTTCAGCATAGAAGATGCTATAGAGTCACTACTTGTCTTTTCTGTGCTGTACTGCCTTCCCAGCACCCCCCTCCTATATTATGTGTGCTAATCGTAATCCCCCTTAATCCTCTTATCCCTCCACCAATTCACATGTATTTTTAAAAAAACAGAAGATATAAGAAGTTATACATGAAAATCTCCTTTCTTTCCTTTTCCCAGGTAGCCAATTCAGGCCACTTGCAAGAAATTTCAAGTGTCTTTACACACATACAAATATGAACATAAATCTCCATCCTTTTTATTCATGAGGGAGTATGTTATTCATACTTTTCTGAATCATGTGTTTTAGTCATCTATTGTATAACAAATACCTCTGAGCTTAATGGCTTAAAACCATTCTCTCTCGTAGTTTGGTGGGTTGATTGGGTTGCTGAGGAGTTCTTGCTTCAGCTTCTCACTGAGGCTGCAGTCAGATGTAGGCTAGTGCAGGGTCATGTGAAGGCTCAGCTGGACTGGGTGTCCAGAATGGCTTACAAGTGGCCGCAATTGATGCTGGTTGTTGGGTGGGAGTTCAGCTGCCAGAGCATCCCTGCATGGACTCTCCCAGTGGCTTGGGCTTGTGCAGCAAGGATGCTGGTTCTGAGCGTAGGCACCAGAGAACATACATTCCGAGAGAGCAGGAAGTGAAAGCTACTGGCCAACTAAGGGCTACTTACACAACTGGCACTGTTACCTCTGCTATATTCTATTGGTCACAGGGCCAGCCCAGATTCAAGGGGATGGAGAAAAAAAACCCATCTCTTCATGGTAGAGAGGCAAGATCATGTTGCAGAAGCTCTTGGAGGATATGAGATACTGTTTTGGTCATCTTTGTAAAATATTCTGTAACACCGTCTGAAGTACTTTTCTACTCCACCTAACACAGGCCCAAGGACTGAGGAGCTTTCTTATGCAAAGTCTGACATCTAATCTCCCTGCTTCCCCCAACCCCACTAATTCCGGCCCCGTCTCTTTGTGGCTTGTTAAATGTCAGAGTTATCTCCCATTATCTCTCACTGCAAATAGCCAGTAAAACTTGTATTTTCATGTGATAGGTATTTCTGTAAACTTTAGCTTCGATGATATCATTTTCCTAAGTAAAAATTGGCTCTGGTACCCTAGTGGTTTTGTTCAACCTGTGTGATGTTGGCATATATAAGATTTACTTTTTTTGAACTTCCAACATTTCAAAATTGGAGATTTTATGTTAAAATCCAGATCAAGCTCCTTTTGAAGAGCCAGGTTCTTATATGTTGAAAAATTCAATTCTTCAACTGATATGCTCTAGATACTGAACAAAAGGAAAAACATTCAGGTCCTTGAAGGACTTACATTTTTGTTATGGGGAGGCAGACAATAAACAAAATGAATAACTAAAATCTATAGAATGTTAGACAGCAGTAAACTATGCAGGGCTAGGAAGGAGGTAGGAATAGGAGTAGATGGGAAGTGCTGCAATTTTAAATCACATCATCATGGGAGGACTCAATAAAATGGAGACATTTCAGTTCAACAATTTAAGGAGCAGCCCCCAGTCTCTCTGCTGCCTGGCTGTAGCTGTTTCTGTGGTCCTTTCGCTTCTTAATTTCTGGGACTTGAATTCACTGCCATGTCCTTGGAAGAAGGAACTCTTTGTGGGAGGGCTCAACTTCAACATCCATGAGCAAGCTCTGGAAGACCACTTCAGCAGCTTTGGGCCTATTTCTGAGGTGGTCATTGTCAAGGACGGGGGGACTCAGAGATCCTGGCTTCATCACCTTCATCAGTCCAGAGCATGCCTCAGATGCCATGAGAGCCATGAATGGAGAGTATCTGGACATTGCCAGATCTGTGTGCATCACATGGGCAAGTTGGCCCACGAAACCAGAGGTAGTGCCTTTGGGCCCCCCGTATGTTTGCAGCTACTCTAGAGTTGGTGCGGACCAGGACTATGGGAGTGGCAGTGTGACAGTTGACCTGGAGGATCCAGATCTGGATGTGGAAGGTCCAGAGGCTCTGGTGGCAGAAGCCAGGTGGTTATGACCGCTACTCAGGAGGAAATTATAGAGACAATTATGAGCACTGAGAAGAGGCATGCACACCTAATATACATGAGGAATAAAACAACTTGTGGTCCAGGATCATCCTTCTAAATGGCTGTGTTTGTAAAGGTTTTTGGAGCTGCATTGAAACATCTGGTTTAGTACCTCAACTTCTGTTTTGAATTGAGTTCCCAGGGTAGCTTGCTACAGACCTTTTGGAAAGCTCCATGTGTTTTAAAGTTTTTTTTCCTCTCATTTAATGACAAATTCTGGGACATTTGTAGAGTCTGGGTATTTTTCCTTTTCCCAGTTTTTGAGTTGGGGCTCTCAGGATTATTGGTTCTGGCAAAAAAAATATTTGGCCAGGCTGATTTATTTTTTTAAATGTGCATCTAGGGACATTCAGAAAACCTGTACACAATGTTTATCATAGTTAGGAATAAATTTCTGAATAAAACTACAAGAAATCAAGAACACGATTACTTAGAGGTGTTTTTTACTCAAGATCACCACCCCAATTTTAATAGAAGCTTCTTAAAAATATTTGTGAATGTCATTTTTTTTCATACTAGAAAAAAATTTCTGTTGTGCCTCATGTAGTGTTTAGGATGTCCTGCATAGAGTTGATAAAAAAGCTGAAACCTGAAAACAAAACAAAGCAAAAGACAAAAACAAAAACAAAAACAAATTTAAGGAGTACAGGAAGGGAAACAACGAATTTCTCAAAACTTGCTTTCTAATAGAGTAACATAGCCACATGTGGCCATCTAAACTTAAATTAATTAAAGTTAAATAAAATAAAAAATTCAGTTTTTCAGGCACACTAGCCACATTTCAAGTGCTCCCATGTGGCTAGTGGTTATAAAACAGATATAAAATTTTTCCACCATTTCAGAAAGTTCTGTTGGGCAGCACAGCAGAGGAAGAGTATTCCACGGAAAGGATACAGCAAAGGTCCTGGGGTGAGACATCGCTCATACTGAGCTAAACAGTGGCATTGGTTCTCTATTTACACATTCCTACTACTCCCTATTGTCTGTCTTACATCAAGAGGCTGGCAATTATCGTTTGCCACCTTAACCCAAGCCAAATTTCCAAAGGCCTTACTGATAACTGGGTTTTAGTCCCTGGATCAGTGCCATAGAATCTATGGGATAAAGTCTAAACTCCTGCCTCTAAAGGTATTATGAAGGGACTTTCAGTTGGTGTTTCAGGAGGAAGTTTGCAGTGTGGGCTTGCATTCTGGGGCTCAAGGCAATAACTGATTACCAACTGGTGCCGACTTATTTCAACATATATTAAACTGGTACAGTCTTATATGGTACATCAAGTAGGATTTTGGCCTTGAGTAAAGATGTATGAGAGGTATTTGGAAACTGTACTGGACTATAGAGTTTATTGCAGAGCCCTTTCCAGTAAACACAGCTTAAGGTGACAAGATTTAAGGCCTTCTGCAGTGTGTCATCAGCATTCATTCTTACATTTTCTCTTGCTTCTCCATTATGCTATCCCTCTCTCTTGCCAGTAGGACACATTCAGTGCCCAGTAGGTTCTGTGTCATACCACCTTCGTGTTCTTCTCATGGTTTTCCTTCTTACTGGAAGGATCCTCATCCTCCCTTCTGCCCAAGTGTGCATCTTCTGCACTCAGCCTTAAGGCACAACTCAAACTCCCTTCACTGACTCTTCTTTGCCCATCCTAGGCTAGAAGCATTTCTCAGTCCTGTGACCCAGAATGCTCATTATCCACACTCACTTGGCAATTACCAAGAGTACAAAGCAGTATCTTGTTTTTTTTCTATGTTTATCTTCTCCTGGGCCAAATCTTAAGTTCCATGAGGGCAGAGGTCATTTGTTTTTCCTTACATGGCCCTATTTCCATATACATGTGCCAAGCATTCTATCTTGTGAGGGGCTGAAGGTACAGTGGTAAAGCAACTCAGGGCACTGACATCCTTAATCCTTATTTGCCCACTTAAATTTTTGACATGAATAAGATTATGCATTTCTTGCAAGTCTTAGGCAAAGATGGAGACCCAGTGTCCTACTGATAGGGAGTCAATGCTCTAGCTGGCCCTAGTTGAAGACAAATTGGGCCAGGGATGTGAAGATGCACAGCCATTTGGATTTTAAGGCCCTGCTAGAATAGTTTCAATCTCAATACCCCACTATGTCTAGCTCCTGGAGTGGTGTAAACAATGATTCACACCATGGTAGCCCTTTACAGTTCACCAAACACATTCATCACATGCATGAGGCTTTCAGGGGAAGTCAGGTTCCAACATGTTAACAGAGATTCACCTTCAGGTCACCAGGCTTGCTCCTATTTTGCTAAACACCGATCATAACCAAGAAAAGTTTTCTCCCTTTATCCTTTCATGATTAGTGTACCAAAGAAGGGACAGTGTAGGGGCAATACTGTCACCATTGAGAGCGGAGGGCAGAATACAGTCTATTTTGAAGTTATGGCAAAACCGGTTTCTAGGAATAGCCACTATGATTTGGGGCTAGGCTGTGCAAAAAGTAAGGAGGCGTTGGGGGATGAAGGAGTGCCCCAGACTTCCTGGTTCACTTGGTTGAAGTTCAAATCAACCTTAGTTGTTACGAAAATGGAGAGAAGCAGGTCTTTTCCGCCCAAAGGGAATGGGGCGTTGGTGGAGGATTCTGGGAATCCGTACCTGTAGATGGGCCGGTGCGCAGGTGTCCTGCCGAAGAGGGCCCCGGGAGTGGCTGAGCGGGGGCCAGGTCCCCGGCGTAGGTGAGCCGCTGGCGAGGGAGGGGCGGGGGCGGGGCCGGGCGCACCTGGGCCGGGAGGGGAGGTGCGCGGGGCTGGGCCTGGCGGGGGCCGGGCGCGCGCCAATGGGCAGCGGCTGGCAGCGCGCCCCGCGCCCGAGCCGCAGTCGCGCCCTCTCGCTGCCTGGCTAAGGCGTGGACGGCGCGCGGAGGCGAGCGCGGGGGAGAGGAGCTGCCGGCGCCGCAGCCGCCGCCAGGGCATGAGGATGGCCGTGGGCTCCGTCAAAATGCAGCCGCCGTGCGAGAGCCCGGCCCTGGCCGCGGCGGCGGCAGCGGCGGACGGCGCCCTGCGCCGCAGCCCAAGCTCCCGAGAGCCGGAGCGCGAGCAGCCGCCGGCGCCGCCGCGGCCGCGGCTGAAAGACCTGCCGGCGCTGCTGCGGAGCGGGCTCACGCTGCGGAGGAAGCGGAGCGCCGCCGGGGGCCGGGTGAGTGGCCCTGGGCGGCCAGGCCCGAGTGGGCTTGGGCGGCGCGCACGTGGAGCCCGCGCCCACCCTCCCGGGCAGCTGAGGAAGGCGTCGGAAGTTGGGGAGGCGGCGGGAGGGGCGCCCTTGTGCCAGACTGGGTAGAAAACGGGCTCGGGACGGCGGGGTCGGTGAGTGACCCCCGGTGAGCCACGGTTTCCCGTCGCCCAGGTGCGCCTGACTTAACCCAAGGGTGCGTGGATCAGGCTGCCGGACCGTGGGCACCGCCGGGAAAAGGGCCGTTTGCCTCTCCCCAGAGGGAAGCTGCAGGTGTCCGGTGCCTAACAGTCGGCCAGCCCTGTCCCGGCAGCAAGCTTCAGGCCCCACGAGTGGGAGCTCATATTGCAGGAGGCATGAGACTTGTGCGCATGTTTTGGACGCCCCGTTGCAAGCTGTGGGCATGGGCACGGGCTCCGGCCGCCGCCACCGCCGAGGGGGGAGACCCGGGAGTTGGACGTTCTAGCTCCTGGGTCCCGGAGTCTCCAGCACTTGGCATTCGGTAACGCCCCCTTGAGCAGGAGGGTGCACGGCCCCCAGGATCGTAAATATTGACTTCCTGATGGTGTGTTCGGATATAATTTCCTGGTGAAGGAGTGTCCTTCGTTGGGTTCTAAGTGCATCTCACAGCCAGAGCAGGTCAGACATGTTTTGTCTGTTAAGAGAAGCGGGATGGCCTGCTGATTCTCTCCTGGGATCTTTCACAAGCCAGTCAGCAGGCACTGACCTGGCCCAAGGGATCGACTTACTCAGGTTTCCCTGCTCACGGGAGCTTTAGGGCACCTTTGGTGGGTTCTACTAAGTTAAAAAAAAATTGTCATCATTAAAAGGGCTTTACTGAGAAGTTGCAGCAATGTAGATTTTGGGGGGCTGTTATTTGAAGATGAAGTCTTGGGTTGTCTGCCTTAAAAGACAACCCTACTGGGGGACTTTCAGCTCCTTCAAAGATAACAGGTTTATGGCTGTTGAGAGGAAGAAGCAGAAGTCTTGTCTTGGTGTGGCTTCCATTGAAGCAGGGAAGGGTCTGAATTGATGTAGTCTTCAGGCTCTCTAGGCTGTGTTCTTCCTTTCCTAGGCATTCTCCTTCCCATGTAGGTGTACTGTACATGATCAGTCTCAGAAGGATGTTCTAAGGAGGAGCTGGGTGTGTAGGATGTCTTAGAGCTACTACCAGAGGGGTTTAGGAATTGCCTACAAGTGACCTTAATGCGTGGCATACAGGATTGCCTTCAAGGAAAGCCAGGAAATGTCCCAAAGGTGTGATAGCTAAATAAACACAAGAATCAGAGTTACAGACTTTGCTGGCATCTAGGGAAAAGTAGGTCAAATCGTGTTCCTATTATTCTTGACAGTTACTTTTTTCATGGCACAGAATATTGAAGACATGAGGGCAGCCAGGCAATCTGTGAGGAGAATTGCTGAGGGTTTCTGTATAAATAGATCTGTGTGTTCATCTGTATAAAGGCTTGTGTTTCTTGCTGCCTGTGATGATGTGTGCCTTGCCAAAATACATATTTACCCTTAATCTTCTTTATTATTTTGAAAGTGGTTACTTCAAACAATGTATACTTTATTAACCCTTCTTTGATTCTAATACCGTATTACTTCTCTTTGGGACATTCCAAACACATTACACAAGTGCATGGCCAGTCTTTTTATTGGGGGAAGATTGCCAAATTTTCCACTGTTGGAAACCCATACTTTTCAACTATTTTCTCCTCCTTTGGCTTTGGAACCATCTTTGTGATTTTGGAACCTTCCCTAACAAGGAGGTAGGAAAGAATTTGAAAGAAAGAGAAACAGTAATGTACCTGTATTATCTTATCAGGCTGCCATAACAAAGTACCATAGACTGGGTGGCTTAAACGACAGATACTTATTTTCTCACAGTTCTGGAGGCTGGGAAGTTCAAGATTAAGGTGCCAGCAGATTACGTTTCTGGTGAGAGCTCTCTTCCTGTCCTTACATGACCGTTCCCTGGTGCACATGGGGAGAGAGAGTTCTCTCTCTCTTCCTCTTCTTGCAAGGCCGTTAATTCCATCATGGAAGCTTCACCCGTATGACGTGGTCTAACCCTAAATACCTCCTATGAGTTGCACCTCCACATACCATCACACTGCAGATTAGGGCTTCAACATATGAATTTTGGGAAGACACAAACATTTGGTCCAGAACAGAAGGGGTCTGAAGGAAAGAGGAAAACATAGTATGTTCCAAACCTGCTAGTGACTTGCAGGCATCCAGGGTCATCTTGTTCCTCCTTGGTTAGGGCAGTGATGCTAATGCAAACAAATCATGGGTAGATTTTTCTGTGGACCTTTGGTTTTGTACCTTATGGGTCATACCTCCAGATTACAGCTGAGGGATTGTAGGGATAAGTCAACACAAATCCATTACCACTGGTAAAACAAACAAACAAAAAGACCCAAAAGAACAGCTTTGTGCATTACACAAGTTGGTAAGAAAGTTTGTAATTTTTGTATTGACCAAGATTTGATTTAAAAATACTTGTAACTCTCATCCATGCTGCCTTGGGCTCCCACAAATATGAACAATCTGGCATCAGCTGTCATCAGGTAAGCTCTTTGTAGGTCATGTTGCCCAATCCAGGCTATTTCTTAATTAAGCTGATATTTGCTTAATACTACAAATACATTTATTAACAATTTTTGGTTCTTGGCTCAGTCACTTATATTGAATTTGAAATGCAAACTGATTAAGACTCTGCACCGCTTTGGGCTAAGTAGGGAACAACTAAATTTTGCTTTGTAGGAGGACCCTAGCTAGTTACCTCCTAAAAATTAGTGGTAAGATAAGGTATGGCTTGAATTCTCACGAAAGCGCTTTCATCATTTTTTACAACATTGTGTTATGGAGCTTACAAGAGAATCATATGATAAATACCCATGCTTCAACAGTTCCTACTGTTTTGCTAGTTTTGTTGCATTTATTTCCCTTTCCCATACTTTTTTATGAGGGCTGGTGTATTTTAAAGCAAAATCCTAAGCATCATCTCATCTAACTCATAAATATTCCAGTTTATGTCTCTGATAAGGACTTTTTTTCTTAAAAGAAATCTGTAATTTTTATGCCTTTTTCACACCTAAAAATATTAACAATAATTTCCTAATGTAATTCTCATATTCAGGTATTCTCAAAGATATCTTTTTACTTGTGATTTGTTGGAATCAGGAGCTAAACAAGAGCCACACATTGCATTGGTTGGTAGGTTTTTAAACCTATTTTCTTTAGAAACAGTTCTCCTACCTTCTTTTTTCATGCCATTGATTTCCTGGAGAGAGAGAGCAGGTCATTTGCCTGTAGAATGTCCCACTTTCTGGACCAGTTTTTACTTACGGTGTCATTTAACAATGTGGTGTCATTGCTTCTCTAGTCTCCATGTCTCCTATAATCCGGCAGTTAGAATGTAGAAGCTTGATTAGATTCAGGTTCAAAGGCAAGCATCCTTCCTGCTTGGAGCTGTGTAAATCTGTTGCATCACCTCACAAGACACACGATGTCTGGATGTCTGTTTTTGAGATGTTGAGATTGATTAGTGGGTTCAGGTAGGGTCAACTTACTTTTCTACATTTCACCTAATGATTTTAGTATCACTACATGTTTGTAGCCTAGATCCATTAAATCATGGGCTACAAAATGGCGATGATCTAAGTCCATCATTCCTCTTGCATTTATTAATAGGGATTTTATCTATAAAGAACTTACTCTCATGAAGTATTTGGATCTCCTGAAATTCAAATTGTGTAAGCAAGACAGGGAAAAGGCTTATTTTTTTCCTTTTATCCATTTTCTGAGTAATGATTTGGGGCCCTAAGAACCTGCCATGACAATCAATGAGTTTTTCTTTTCTAAGTATCATTAAGAACTTGCAGATCTTTTTGTATTTGTTTCAATCCATTGCAGTCAATATTCTTTTGGATGCTCAGTTCTTTCTTTCTACTGTATGCTTTTTACAAGACACCAGTAGTCTCTGATACCATTCCTACTTTCTGGCACAAGATACTGTAAGCTTATTTTGTCCATGTCCTTCACCAGATCTAAAAATCAACCATTTTCCCAAGGAGAACTGATTCTTTTTCCTTAAAACTATTCATTTCCTCCAATTTTTGCCTCTCAGTGGTTGCATTATCTTTTACCACGGTTGTAAGCCTTCCATCTTGTTTTTCTTTTTAAAATGTTTCTCATCAGGCTGTTTCTAAGACTGTCATTTTCTCCCCCTGATAAAATAGCTAACTACCATTCCCTTTTACTATATATACTGTCAAAGTGCTGGGACTGACTTATTTTAGGCTTTGGCTGCTGTGATTTTTTTCAGCAGTGTTCTACCACTTTCTTCATCTCCTTGAAATCTGTTTCATTCACAGCAGCCAGAATGATTCACCAATTGTGCCAAATTGAGGGTTCACCAAAGCCAGTTCTCCACTTGTGGATTAGTCTTCTCTCCCGTACCTCGTCTCCTTAGCACCCTTTGCTCAGGCAGGGTCCCTATGGCATCACCAGGGCCCTTCAAACCTGAGAAACTGGAAGAACAGCTGGTGGCTCTGTGCATGAGGTTCTGTCTTTTTCCTTTACAGTCTCTATGCAGATGATTCTCTCTCAGAGAACAAGGTGGCCCATTTCCTTTGTCCAAGCTGGCATGTTTGAGGTGCCTTAACCCCTCTTCTCATGGAAATAAAACTTTGTTGATTGAGAAACACATACTGCTGCAAGTTATACCGGCTGTGCCCAATTTATAGTCATTTAAACACATATCTTACAGGCAAAGCATGTAATTTGTTCTTTGTATTTAAATTAAAATCAATGGCTGATACTTCATAGTACTTAATTATGTGCCCTGCATTTTCTGATATGAACTTCATTTAACTCTCATGGCAAGCCTATGAGTTAGATTCTATTATTTGCATTCTGTAGATGAGGAAACTGAAACACAGATGTAAATTACCCAA